CGCCGGCCGCCTGGGCACGAGACTGGGCGGGGGCGCCGGCCTCGGCCCGGGAGGCTTGGGATCGCGGAGACGCCGGGACCCGCTGGGGCCTGCGCGCCGCACGCTCCCGCGGAGCTTCTGCTTGCCCTTCTCCTCCTCGGCAGGGCGAGGTCAGGTGCCCTCCTCCTCTCCTCCCTTCGCCCCCTCCCCCACCCCTGTGCCCGCGGGAGATCCTGCCCGCCTTCTCCTGCAGGGGTGTAGCCGGCTGCGGAACTGACAGCGGCTCCGCAGCTACCCTGCCCAAACTCTCCGGAAGCTGCCCGAGCTCAGGCTCGGGAGGACGCACTGTTGCACCGAGGGGAGCTGGCGATCCTCCCGCGCCCAAACTTGGAGTACTTGACCTTTGGCTGTCGGAGGAGGCTAGCCCGCAGGTGGCTGGACAGCTGCGGCGCCGAGAGGGCATCTTGCCTAGGGACCTTCGGCTGGACTCCCGGGCTCCCGGCTTTGCCTCTGGGACCCCAGGGTGCCCATCTCGGGCGCATGTTGATTGAGACCTAGAGTCATGGATGTGTGTGCCCGTCTTGCCCTGTGGCTCCTCTGGGGGCTCCTCCTGCATCAAGGCCAGAGCCTGAGCCACAGTCATAGTGAGAAGGCGACAGGAGCTGGATCCGGGGCTACTTCGGAGGAGTCCACTGCAGCAGGTAAGATCTTGCTGGGGGCTGGGTGTATGTATGGGGGGCTTTTGGTTCAGAACCAAGCCGCCTCTTTGAAGTGGGCAGATCAGTCTAGATTTGTACGTGTGGGATTGACGGAGTATCCACGCATGGTACTACCTAGCCCCAGTAGTCCAAGTTCTTTTTGTCCCCAGTCACCGCTATTATTTCTAGCTCTCCAGAACAACTTTCCTCATCCCTCCTTCGGATGCCTTTTGTTGGGGCACCTTGGTCTTTCAGATCAGCAAGGCAGGACCCCATGTCAGGACTTCTCTGGAAGAATGGCTTGCTCTTCGCCAGGTTCAATGCTTGGCAGCAAAGAAGGGGTCGAAGCTACTTGGGCCGGGCAGGGAAGAATCAGGGCTGGGCCAGCTCTGTTGCCTGAAAGCCTGGTGTTCAGGTGTGCCTTTCTGTTCCAACTACTGTGAGAACCCTAGTCCCTCCCTTCCCCTAGGTAACTTGTTGTCTCCTAGCTGTGCCTGTTTGAAATATGAAGGCAAGCCTGTAGATGAACTCTTATTTGCCACTAGGGAGCTAAATGGCCTTTTCTTGACATTGGCATAATATAATTCTTGGGACTGCTTTTGACTTGTTCTGCTTCTTCTGATGGATGAAGGTAGGGATTCCGTGTGTGTGTGTGTGTGTGTGTGTGTGTAAATGTAATTTATATATTTATTTACTACTCTGTCTTGGTTTTCCCTATGCACTCGTGAAGTCTTGTCAGGAAGCAGGAGCCCTGGTGTACTATTGCAGTAGAAAGGAGCACCTTTTTTACGTAAAGTTTAAGAGATCAGTTTTCTTTTCCCGTTTTTCTCACCCTTTTTTTTTTTTTTTTTTTTTTGACAGGGTCTCGCTATGCAGTTCAGGCTGGCCTTGAGCTCACTTTGTAGCCCAGGCTGGTCTTGAACTCGCAACAGTCCTCCAGCCTCAGCCTCCCCAGTGCTGGGATTACAGGCGTGCGCCACCATGCCCAGCTCACCCTGTCTTTTTTTCTTTTTGTTGACACAGGGTTTCACTATACAGTTTTGGCTGGCCTTGAACTCACTAGGTAGCCCAGGCTGGTCTCGAGCATGCAGTGATCCTCCTGCATCAGTCTCCCTAGTGCTGGGATTACAGGCGTGCGTTGCCGTGCCCAGCCTCACCCTGTCATTTTGATCTATCCAAAGCTGTGGTCTGAAGAGGGAGAGTTTATAGTTGACTTGTTTTGAGGATAGATAAGCTCAAGTGAGGGGATGGCTCTCTGAGTACTTACTGACACAAATTGGAAAGGGAAATATAGATCATGGTGGCTGGGAGTTTCATGAATAGATCTGGAGGCTGGCATTAGCGGTAGTAGATCTTTCCTTGGGCAGCCCCTTTCCTTCACTAGACTAGGTGTGATTTCAGATACCCTCATGAGCTGGTTTCTAAGTGAGGCTAGTGTTGCCTTTTGTACCAGCATGGTACCTTGACTTTTGCTTTAAAGATAGGTCCTTCTTTTTTTTTTTTTTTTTGTCTTTTTGAGGCAGGGTCTCACTATGTAGTTCACGCTGGCCTTGAGCTCACTTTGTAGCTCAGACTGATCTCGAACTCACACTGATCCTCCTGTCTCAACCTCCCGAGTGCTGGGATTACAGGCGTGTGCCACCATGCCTAAAGATAGGTCCTTCTTAGCCTGGTGTAATGGCATAGTCTGTAATCCTACCACTCTGAGAGGCTGAGGCAGGAGGATTGTAAGTCTTAGCCTATCCTGATTAAGTTAGTGACTTAGCAAGACCCTAAGCAAGACTCAGAATAAAGAATAAAAAGTGGGGTAGGGAGCCAGGCGTGGTGGCACATGCCTATAATCCCAGCACTGGGGAAAGTGAGGCAGGAGGATCCCTGTGAATTCAAGGCCAACCTGCACTACATAGTGAGACCCTGTCTCAAAAAACAAGCAGGGATAGGGATATAGTTTAATATAAAGGCCCTGGGATCAGTCTCCAGCTCCCTTCTTCCCCCAAAAAAGGGTCCTTCTTGCAAATTAATTCTGACTCCATAGGAAATTTCCCTGGCCCCTGGGGATATAAAAAGAATTAACATATGTTATGTGTATGTACCAACTCCCCATGCTGAATATATTAATTATGTACTGCAAACATGTACTAATAAAAATTAAAATTAAAAAAAAAAAAGATTGGCTTTCATTGGGCTGTGGAAGGAAATCTGGTTGAACTATAAAGTAGACCTAAGGTGCATATGTGATGTCCCAGTGACATCCCTGTTTATAATTGATAATGTCTCCCCCATCACTCCCAACTTCAAAATATAAGTGCCTGATGTGAAATGAGTATTTTTTGCGGGGGTCTTGCTATGTAGTTTAGGCTGGCCTTGAACTCACTGTATAACCCAGTGTGGCCTTGAGCTCATGTCGATTCTCCTGCCTCAGTCTCCTGAGTGCTAGGATTATAGGCATATAGGCATGTGGTACCATGCCTGGTGAAATGAGTATTTTTGAGAGTGTTTTATATTTTAGACTCAAGGTAAAGGGATAAAGTTTTGAGCTTTAAGCATTAGCTAGCTCTCAGGATGGTTTTTTGTTCTGTAACGTGCGTGTGTGCTTGCGTATAGTTGTGTCTTCTTGAGGCATTCTAGCATCTCTCAGAACAACCTCAGGACTTGGGCTTATAGAGCTGTCCACATAATGTATTTCAGAGGTCTGGTTATGACTATATGGCCAACGCCTCTGTTTTGGCCTTTTCTTCCTTTCAGATCAGAAATTGTTCTCTGTGGTCATAATAATAGTGGATCTAGGGAAGAGCATCTCAGAGAGACAGAGAGGGAGAGATGCTAGGTGCTGTGAGTGACTGGTTTGTGGGAATGTGGGCGTCCCAGCACAGTTGTTCTGTTAGATTGTCTCCTTAGATTTGTCTGAGACTTTGTCTTTGACCCATGGACTTATTTTTGCAGAGGTGGCTCATAGGTAGGGCTCTCCCAGAGTTTGGTGAGACACTTTCTGTGCAACCAGTTACTCTTGCAGACTTTCTGGCCCCTCTATATCTCCAGAAAATAGAACTTTTACTTGCTTTATTTTAGTGTTGTTTTTTGAGCCAGAGTCTCACTGTGTAGTTCAGGCTGGGCTTAAACTCACTATGTAGCCCAGGCTGACCTTGAACTTGGGGTGATCCTTCTGCCTCAGCCTCCCAAGTGCTGGAATTACAGGCGTACATCACCACACTCGGCTCCGACTTGCTCTTAAAGCTACCAGTTTTCTCAGTCAGATTCAACATATCTAATATATTTGTGTGTTCCCTACAATTTGTATGTTACAATCAAACAGCTATTTTTTCTATAAAGTCTCACAATAATGCTAATAGAATGTGGGATAATACATCCTGTTTTAATAGGTTGAAGAAACTGGGGCCTGTGTTTGGTCTTCTAGGGAGGTGTTTCGCTGCTTGAATCCTGGACTTACTGTATTTTCTCCTGTCCTGTTAAGGGAGTGCCAGGTGGGGCCAGAGAATGTTGTTCTTCTTCTGGCAGTTAAGCAGGCTCTGGTGACTCTGTAGCTGAGATCCAAAAGGGATACTTACATCTCTTCTGGAGAGTATGTTGAAGGGAGAATTGAGAGTTTATGAATCCATATGTCTCTTTTTAGTCAGATATAAGGTTTGACTTTGAGGTTTAAGTTAAAATACTTATGTCTTTCCCATGCATACCCTAAACATTATTAAAATTCTCACCTGCGGTGAAGGTAGGTATTCTACTGTAAGGTTCTCTTATTGGGTAGTGGGGAGCCCATACCTGTTTGTTTTGGCTTTTTATTTTTTTAAAAATTAATTAATTAATTAATTTTTGAGACAGTTTCACTATGCAGTTCAGGCTGGCCTGGAACTCACTTTGTAGCCCAGGTTGGCCTCAAACTCCCATCGATCCTCCTGCTTCAGTCTCCCGGGTGCTGGGATTACAGACATGTGCCACCACGCCCAGCTGGTTTGGGCTTTTTATTACTTGCACAGCAG